GATTGGGTAATAATCACGTGTAGATTTACAAATCGATCTAAAAACTAGCCAATCAGACAAATTTCTGTCTATGAATAGGATGCATTTTTAAATACTAAATATATGGGCTGCTATCAATAGAAATCAGGCAGGTTGACATTTAAAAAAAATCCATACCTCAACTTTCATAGCTCATATATCAATAAATTTTGAAGCTATTTTGAAGATTCAATATTCAAAAGAAAGCTTAGAACTTAATTTTTCTTTGAATTTTAAATTATCAAACTAGCTCCAAAATTTATCGAAATATTAGCTGTGAAAGTTGAGGTATAGATTTTTTTAAAATGTCAATCTGCCTGATTTCTATTGATGGCAGCCTATATATAAAACTTTTAATATACTGTGACCCAAAATTTTGAGGCTGGAAGTCTTTGATGTTAGAATACCCTTTGAATTCATATAAATTAGAGCTAATTTTTTTTCTCTTTTTTAATAATTTACAAGAAAAAAAACCCCCAAAATAACGATAATGGTAATAGTTTGGTTCTGACTATTTTTTCTATATTAAAAAATCTAAATAACAATAATACTATAAAATATGGAAATAAGCACAGCACCCTCTACTCTGCTTTTTTCAATTTCAGATTAACAAGAATAACTTGATTAAGTTTTTATTTCTGCTAATCTGAAATTGAAAAAAAAGTAGAGTAGAGAGTGCTGTGCTTATTCTCTATATTTTATAGTAATAATAATAATTGATAATAATAATAATAATAATAGTAATAAAGTTGTTTTGCATAAAAACTTATGCAGAGTTTTTTTTTAAAAAAATATATAAAAAAAATGTCGATAGCGAATACATTGATGACAAGGTTGATATAACGTCTTGGTTTAAGTCTTGTAGATTTTTTCAAAAACTATTAGACTCATACGAAATATTCATAGAAATTGGCATGCATGAAATTGTTAATGCAATAAAGAAATTACTTTATTAAATGTTGAAAATGAACAAAATATTGTAAATATAATTTCCTTTGAATTATGTTCGCAGAATTTATAAAGGTTTCATTTTCCAAAATGGAATAATTTTTTTATTTTGCTTCTATATTATAGAAACAAATAAGAATAAAGGTTGTAAATCCTGCAGTAACAGTAGCAACTTACACTAAAGCAGATGGCTCTGTCAACAAAATATTTCCAAATAAGGCATGCTTGCGAAATCTAACATACTCTTGCCTGATATATGTTGACGTAAGTTGTGCAATGGCTATTATCCCTTGGAACAAAGCAATATCAAGTACATTTCATAAATTATGTGATAAGAATGAGACTATTTTCACGCAGAAAGTGTTCATTAGAAAGGTAACTATTAACAAAAATTTGATTCTTACAATTAAATAAATGAATAAAATTATTATTAATATTAGATCCCTGTGATGGTTCGGTCCATCTTTTGTAACTTACATGGAAAAACCAAAAAAGAATTGATTAATTTGAACAAATGTTTGTATGAAGTAAGTAAAAATTTGTAATCATGTTATTGAATGGGAAATTGCACAAATAATTAAAATAAACAATAAAAAATAATTATTAACACAATTATTAAATAATTGTATTTTTTAAAGGGTGGTTATTTCATAATAAATGGATCCGAAAAAGTATTAATTGCTCAAGAGCAACCAGCAAATAACTACATTTTCGTTTTCGAGAAGCTGTCACATTCAAGGTATACCCATATGACTGAAATAAACAGTACCAATAAAAAAGAGATATGAGAACAGTGCACTTAGGTAAGTAAATTTATTTTGAGCCAGCTTGTACTTTCGTTTTTCTGATGCTAAAGTGTTTTTTGAATTAAGGTGAGGTACTAACAATGCAATATCTGTTAAACCTACTTTTCCTTTATATTTAGTATAAAATGCAGGGGCAAAATTAAACAGTGCGGATACTAGCTTTAATGGGTATTACAAAATGTGGTTTATTCTGGAATGTTACAAAATGATGTAACGGTTGAATAATAAATTTCATACTAGAATTAATTTATGTGAGGCCTTTACCAAACTCGAATATTGTGACTTTGAGATAATCGAGTTCATTTGATACTTAATTAAACACTTCACGATTTGATTGACTAAAGGTATTGAGTAATCTCATAATATGCAAGTTTCCTATTTTTTTTTTCTTTTTTTGTATCGAATCTCACATAACCCTTTTTTTTTTGATTCTGGGTATTTTATACCGTTAGTCGTTTTATGTATTTTTTTTCTTTATTTCATTTTTCTCTAAGATACAGTCAGACTAGAATTGCTGGTGAAACTAATTCATTTCACCAGAAAACTGGTGCACCGTTGAAGATTAGTTTCATCTATAACTCTAGCTTCACCAGTTTCACCTGGTGCACCATCGGTGCACCATTGAAGATTAGTTTCACCTGCAACTCTAAGTCAGGCCTCGTTATAGTCACTCTTGATATTGTCACAACCTTGATATAATCACACTATTTTTTACTCGAGCTATTATAAAACGTATAAAGTTTGACTTTTATATAGTCCCAACTTTTATAATCACGAGATTCTTGTTTCCAAGCTGGTGATTATATCGAGGTTTGACTGTACAATCATTAAATTTGGATATAATCATTGACTCTAGGTATAATTACGGAATCCAGGTACAGGTAATAAAGTTCACCAACCAGCAAGAGAAAATAGTGATTTAGAGTATTAATAATATTATGAACAAGAACAAAATGCTAAAAAAATTATTAGCCCAAGAATTAAAGAATAAATTAAACTCTTCGGAATATGTAGCTATGCCTGAAATTAAATTAAATTATAAACGTCTGTGCAAATATTCCAATCCAGGTTTCCGAGCATTTTCATAGAATTATGATTTAAATTTTTCGGGCACTAAGTATTAAATTTTCGATTTTGCATAAATAATAGAGGGTCATTAGGAAGCTTCATGTTATAACAATTAACGAATATAATATGCTAACATAATGATTGAGATAAAATCAAGCTAGTTAAAATTTGAATCTCAACACCGTTTTTAACCTAAATTGTAAACTTTAAGGTTGTTAAATGGAGTAAAGTACTCCGGAATAAATAACCCGGAGTAAACCCAACAAGTTGAAATGGGTTTAAAATATATCTATAAGTTTGGAGCAATCTGGAGCAACCTTAGAACGTAGAATAGTTTAGTTTGATGAAAAGGGTTGAAGGTTGAATCAATCCAACCATTGACAACACTAGTTATATTTAATGATGTACGTATATGAATATATAAGAGGAATTTTATAAATTTAAACATAATGCAGTAAATTGTTCACGATTAGATAAATAGTGATTGTGAAACGCTTAGTATCTATGATTAGGGATAAGTATGATAGTTGTGTTGCTATTCTAAAATTCTCATTACTGAGATCAGAAATAAATAATAATTAATTGATTGATATAACACACAATATAACAGTAATATTTTGACAAATCTTTTGTTTAAAAATTTGACATTTTTTCATTATTATTTTTTAACAACCTAAGTTTTTGGATATAGCCTGCTTTACCGTCTGATAATATAAACCATCTCAACTAGAAAACAGTATCTTTTAGCATAAATATTTGTATCTTTTCTTAAAGAATCTGTTCTGCACTCTAAATATTTGTGCTACAATTATTTATTTGCTTTTTTCCACCTTTTATAGTACTTAACTAGAATATGATCATGCGGGCGGCTTCGCCGCCAGGTTTATTTTAATTAATATGAATAAAATTATGAAAAATAAAATTGTAAGTACGAATTACTGAGTTTAAATGAGTTTATAAATCGTACTACATATAATTTAGTATACTTGAAAAGAAGGTAACCAAAAAATGGTTCAAATAATTGAGGGCAAAAATTGTTGAATAACGGTAATTTGACAAATCACGTGCCGCAAAGCGGCACGTGTAGCCAATCATTTGTCAAATTACAGTATACAACAATTTGCCCAATAATGGTGTTATCTGGCAATTTATGATCATGATTGGTAGGGAGTCACTCGCCGAGTTTTTAATTTGAATATTGAAATAAACATAATTACATCGTAACACATGAAAAAAATAACAAAAAGAATTTTTTTCATGACCATATGAGTTTGCCGGATAACTATATAAATTAATCAAGCGTGTTTATCATTAAGATGAATATGCATAATTGATAAAGCTTATTACGTAAATATGACATTTT